CGGCAGCAGCAGGGGGGCGGGTCTTGAACTGAGGCATTTCGACGTCTACCTTGGAGCATGGCTGCTGGGTCGTTGGTTGGCGCCCACACGGCTCTTGTGCTGGCTGCTGTGGTAGGGGTGAGTTGGGATGGGGATGGGTGGGTGGGGACAGGGGAGCGGCAGCAGCAGGGGGGGGGGGATCTTGAACTGAGGCATTTCAACGTCTAGCTTGGCTTGAAGCGTGGCTGCTGGGTTGTTAGTTGGCGCCCACACGCTCCTGCTGCTGGCTGCTGCTGGAAAGAAGGGGTGAGAGGGGGAAAGGTGAGGTGAGGACTCGAAAATGCACTCAGCAGCAGCAGCAGCAGCAGCAGCAGCAGCAGCAGCAGCAGCAGTGGGTGTGCCTTAAAAAACGCACTCACCAGCAGCAGCAGCAGCAGCAGCAGTGGGTGTGCCTTAAAAAACGCACTCACCAGCAGCAGCAGCAGCAGTGGGGGTGCCTAAAAAATGCACTCACCAGCAGCAGAAGCAGCAGCGGGTGTGCCTTTAAAAAAGCACACACCAGCGGCAGCAGCAGTGGGCGTGCCCTGAAATTGCACTCACCAGCGGCAGCAGAGCGGTCGGTGTGCCTTTAAAAACGCATGTACCAGCAGCGACAGCAGCAGCAGTGGGTGTGCCCTGAAAATGCACTCACCAGCGGCAGCAGCAGTGGGTGTGCCTCCGCCTTTCTTCTTCTGCTGCTGCTGGGCCGCCACCAGCTCGTTCTGACGCTCAAGCTCTTACGCGCCTTGAATATGCACTCGCCGACAGTGTGGCATGGGGCAGCAGTGGGGGTGCGATGAAAATGCACTCACCAGCAGCAGCTGCAGCAGTGGGTGTGCCTCCCCCTTTCTTCTTCTGCTGCTGCTGAGCCGCCACCAGCTCGTTCTGGCGCTCAATCTGCCAGGAGGAAGGGGAGGGAAGGGAGTGAGTGCACGGGGAAGGGAGGGTGCACAGGATTACACAGGGAGGATACGCCTTCGAGTCTTGTAAGAATCGGTTCTTCTGCTGCTGTTGTCCCGCCACCAGCTCGTTCTGGCGCTCAATCTGCCAGGAGGAAGGGAAGAGAAGGGGTGCACCGGGGAAAGGTGCACAGGCAATCGACTTTTGAGGAGACTCAAAAGTCACCACCAGCTCATTCTGGCGCTCAATCTGCCAGGGGGAAGGGGAAGGGTGAGAACGCAGGGGGAATGACCGAGAATATCTTACTCATGTGCAGCAGCAGCAGCAGCAGCAGCAGTAATTATTTCCTAAGCCATATCTCTCATTCTCAAAACTAAACTAGATAAAGATGAAACATTACTCACATGCAGCAGCAGTATCTCCTCCCTCAGATACGACATCCACTCTCTATGCGGCTCAAACAAATAGAGCAGATAAGCTCAGCTCAAATAACCTCTCACTCACGTGCAGCAGCAGTATCTCCTCCCTCAGATACGGCATCCACTCTCTATGCGGCTCAAACAAATAGAGCAGATAAGCTCAGCTCAGATAAGCTTCTCACTCACGTGCAGCAGCAGTATCTCCTCCCTCAGATACGACATCCACTCGTGCCGAGCAGCCATCGCAAACAGTGCCTCCTTCTCCTCCTCGCTCACCCCTCCCCTCTCCCCTCCCCTCTCCCTCCCATCCTCCCCTCCCCCTCCTCCGCCTCCCCCTGTCCCCCTCCCCACGCCCCCGTTGGCCCCTCTTCCCCGCCCGCCCTCCCCACCACTAGCACCACCACCACCAGCACCACCACCAGAAGCGGAGTCAGTGTCTCGCCGGCGCACTATACGAATGTCATTCCCTGCCAGCAGCGTTGTGAGCGCGTCTGTGCCGCTGACTGTGCCCGTGTTGATTGTGGGACGAGTAACTGACAGCATGGGGGAAAGGGGAGAAGGCGGAGAGGGGGGAGAGGGGAGAAGGAAGATAGGTGTGTCTCGCCGGCGCACTATACGAATGTCATTCCCTGCCAGCTGCGTTGTCAGCGCGTCTGTGCCGCCGACTGTGCTGGTGCTGATTGTGGGTCGAGTAACTGAGGAAGTGGGATGGGGGGAAGAGAGGGGAGAAGGAGAGAGGGATTGTTGAACGCCTCAAGAATCACCAGCAGAAGCTACAGCATGAGCAGCAGCACCACCACCAGCACCGCCAGCAGCAGCAGCAGCGGTGGTGTCTCGCTGCCGGCGCACTATACGGATGTCATTGCCTGCCAGCAGCGTTGTCAGCGCGTCTGTGCCGCTGACTGTGCCCGTGTTGATTGTGGGACGAGTAACTGGATGGATGGGGAACAGAGGGAAAAGACAAGAGAGAGAGGGAATGTTGCAGCGCCTGAAAAATTACCACCACTAGCAGGGGTGGGGTGGTGATTCGCCGGCGCACTATAAGGATATCATTCAATTGAGGCGTTGTCTCCGAATATTCTATTGAGGCGTTGTCAGTGCGTCAAAAACTGATATCATTCCCTCCCTGCCAGCAGCGTTGTCAGCGCAGCGCGTCTGTGCCACCGCCTGGCCTGTGCTGGTGAGTGTGGGGCGAGTAACAGGGGGGGTTGCCTCAAATATCACATCGGCCTCCTGTTTTGAGACGTCTCAAAACACCGCCTGGCTTGTGCTGGTGAGTGTGGGGCGAGTAACAGGGGGGGTTGCCTCAATTATCACATCAGCCTCCTGTTTTGAGACGTCTCAAAACACCGCCTGGCCTGTGCTGGTGAGTGTGGGGCGAGTAACAGGGGGGGTTGCCTCAAATATCACATCAGCCTCCCCTCCCCACCCACCCTCACGCGTACGTACACCCACCCACCCCCCTCCCCTTTCCCCCCCATTCCCCCACTTCCCCACCTTCTCTGCGGATCTCTGGGGGTGGCTCCGCCAGTATGGCGCTCATGAACACACTCCGCGCCTGCCCCCACAGGTTCCCCTCCTGCCGCCCTGCGCCTCCGCCCGCGGAGCCATGTCTGGGGAAGTGGGGAGGTGCGCGCGGGGAAGGGGGCATCCCGGGGGGAGAGTGGAGCCGGGGGGAAGGATGGGGGGGCAGGGAGGGAGGGTTGAGGGGGGAAAGGGGGGGGGGAGGGGGAGGAGGGGGTGGGGGGTGGGGGGGATGGAGGGGAAGGGAAGGTCGGAGAAAGGTAGGTTATGGTAAAGGGAGGGGAGTGGGAATGGGGGTAGGTGGCGGGAGAGGGAGTGGAGGGGAGGGGAGAGCAAGTGGGAGGTGGATAGAGAAGAGGAGCCGGCGGGAATGGCGGGATGCACGGTAACGTCAGATAGTGTGTCAGATAGTGTGTCAGATAGCGTGTCAGATAGTGTGTCAGATTTAGTGTCTGCTAGTGCCATGATTGACACTTAAAATGGCACAATGTCAGACACAATGACTGACATGACACTTGAACTACAATGTCGGATGTCAGTCACAATGTCAGCTACAGTGTCACATACATCAACCGACACGACACCGTGACTGACACAATGACTGACACAATGACTGACACAATGACTGACACAATGACTGACACAATGACCGACACAGTGTTAACCACATCGTTCGAGACTCAGCGTTTCCTGGGTGCTTCAAGCGTCTCAATGCCCTTGGCTACCCATGTCGCAATGGCGAATACATTCAGCATCTGAGGCGCCTCAAAAGTCGCCATGTCGCAACGGCGTATATATTCAGACACTTGATTACAGAGTGGGGGTCACGAGCGACGAACATAAGGACTGTTATCGGAGACCAGATGGAAGGAACCGCGAAGAGGCACGGAAATGAGGCCCTGCTAGCACATGTCTGTAGAGAATTCTCAAAAATACTCTGAACGTAGGAAATGCCATGAAGACCAGAAGGAGAGAAGCGCGTAGAGGCAAGTCAATGTGGCTATGCTAGCACATGTCATAACCGAGGAAGCTCGTAAGACAACTAGGGTTGAGCTCCTAAGACGAGCTCGACGCATCCTTACGTCATTCCTATTGCCTACCTCTGGTGATGCCTTCCGTCCATGGCGGTTAATCAATGTCAGAAATGTGGGAAGAGATACAGACAATGAGCTCAACCGTTTACAGAATAAATTAGTTATTTTCCCCCGAAAAGCAGCTCTCATAGCTCAGTTGGTTAGAGCACCCGTTTAGTAAGCGGGAGGTCTTGAGTTCAACTCTCAATGAGAGCAAAGCATTCCTCTGGCTGTTTTTCCCCTCTCTGCTTTGTTCATCTCTTCTTGTAAGTCCTTGTCTGGCTCTCATCACTAGTGATTCACGTGCTAGACTTCGTGGCGAAATCAGGGAGCTGATCAGTGGCACTCAACTCCCAGTGGAACCAGCTTGAGTGGCGGAGAAATTATTTTTAGAGGTTTGCAGCCTTCAGGGCACGTGGTTGGGAGAGGTGTACGGAATGAAATACCTCAGCGGAAATGGGTCGTCGCCCAGGGGAGCTCGCTGCCCGCGGGCAAAAAAACAGATCCATTCGGGCATGCATCCGGTCAGGGAGGCATCAACCCTAAACACCTAGAGGCATGGTGTTTAGGGTTGAGGCTCCCTCGGATGGCATGCCATCCGATAGGGTTTTAGTTTTTTTCTGCCCGGGGCAGCAGGTCGTCAGGTCGTCGGAGGGTCGACGGAGCCGACGACCCGTTTCCGCTGAGAGATACGGAAGGGAATGGAAAGGTGGAAATGCTGATTTCTTGACGATTGTTTCCATGTAATTTGGAGAGGCGGATGATGTTTGCGGACTGTGCAATGTCATCACATTAGGGCGTGTCATATGAGTTCACATTATGTGATACACTTTTTACTTTTGGGTAGGGTTTTGAGCGCAAACGAGATCATATGACACGCCCTCAATAACTCCGGCTTCGATGTTAATGAAGTGAATAGTAGAGTTTCTCCAAATGAAGCAAAGGTGGTAAAAAAACTATAAAATTAAAGTACGGAAATCAATAAGACAGCTCTCGTAGCTCAGTTGGTTAGAGCACCCGTTTAGTAAGCGGGAGGTCTTGAGTTCAACTCTCAATGAGAGCATGATTAGAGCTGTGCATGTGATTGGAATAGCACCGTTTTGCTTACAGCACAGAACACCTCCAATTTTCTAAGCAGGTACATTTTCACCCCTATGCTGTGAATACCCCTTTTGGAGGCGAAAGTAGCAAGAACTATAATGTCCCTGCTCCCAGTAGTAATCAACTTACTTGCAAGACCTGTACATGTAACATTCACAGCACCTGTCCATCAAACCAGTCACGGTATAACTGCCGGATGAGCAGCAAATAGTGGATTTGGAGGATGTGGCAGAGGCATAGAAGAGGAAACGGTAAGACCATGAGGAGAAAGAGGGGCGAGGGGAGGAGTGCGAGGAGGAGCAAGTAGAGGAGGAGGGAGGAAAGTGCGGGGGGGAGGAACACAGAGGAAGCTCATCACGCCTTCATGCATCCAACTCTCCAGCCTATCAGATCCTGCCACATCATGTCTCTCCGCGTGCCTTCCCACCACATGTCTTCCCTCAATCATGCCGCCACCGCCGCCGCTGCTGCTGCCACCGCCGCCGCTGTTGCCGCCACTGATTATCGTGCTGCTCTTGCCGCTGCTGCTAGGCTGCCTGGCAGCAGAAGTGCCAGCTCCAGTCAGCTGGCAACCACACATCCACTCATGGACCAATGCTGATGATGCTGCTGATGGTGCATATGCTCCTGCTAGTGCTGTTGCTGGTGCTGTTGCTGGTGCTCTTGCTGATGCTGGTACTGATGCTGAAGCCGATGCTTCCTGTAGTGGGAGTGGTAGAGAAGCGGGTAATTCTGTTGGTGGCCGTGATATTGGTGGTATCTCCGTTGGTACCCATGGCAAAGCAGAATAATTTGTCGGTGAGAGCGTGAAACCCTGTTGACGTGATTGCTCAATAGTTGCTGCTCCCCCACTTACTCCCTCTCTCCCTCTGCTACCTCGCTCCCAGCTCCCTTCTCCCCCCCCCGATCGAAGACCCCTTCCTCTTCCTCTCTCACGTTCTCCCGTTCCTTCGTTCCTATCCCAACCACCACTTGCCAGGGCACGATTGCCGGAGCTGCTGGCTCGGTGGCTAGGTTCGGACGCCGTGCCTGGGTAGGTTCGGAGGATGTTGAGAGCAAGGGCGTTGGTTCGGCAGAGAAGCCGAGGCTCGTTGGGTGGAGAGAGCAGATGGAAAGTAGCTGTCGAAGGAAGGGAAAATTGAAGTAGAGTGAAGGAAGGGGAAGGGGAGCAATGGGTAGTGGTGGGGAGCGGTGGAGAGGGAAGCAGTGAGTGGGGGGGGGAAGCAGGTAGAAAAGCAAGAAATATGTGATGAGGTACAGAGAACAGGGGTGGGCTGAGGAAGGAAGAAAGCAAAGGGGGATAAGGGGGGAGAGGGATAAGGGGGGAGGGTGGCGAACGAACAGATGTCAAGTCAAGCCCCCAGCTCGCATCTCACACCAGCTACAAGCCCTCAAGCACCCAAACCATCTTAGTGGCCACACGCCCCACACGCCCCACAAGCCCCACACGCCCTACACGCCCCACACGCCCCACAAGCCCCACAAGCCCCACAAGCCCCACACGCCCTACACGCCCCACAAGCCCCACACGCCCCACACGCCCCACACGCCCCCAGCTCACATCTGAGCTTGCTCAGCACATCGCCTTTCACCGGTGTATCTCTCACGTCCAGACAGAACATGCCGCCCAGAGGCACTGTAGCACTCAGGCCTGCATGACAGGGGGGGAAAGGCTCTGGGAAACGAGTCAGTCACACGTGGCATGCAAGGCTCTGTGTGACACGTGGCTCACAAAGACCTCACATAGGATTTCTCAGAATCCCACAGCATGTGTGTTGTATATCACAGCACACCTAACAGGTGAGTGGCTCCTGCCTTGTCCACAGAGGTGTCTTGCTTGCAGCCGTAGGCATACCAGACAGCACTCACGCCACTCCAGCTGCTCTTGGAAAAAAGAAGGCAACTTGGACTAGGCGTCTCAAGGAACGCACCTAGCAGGTGTGTGGCTCCAGCCCTATCCACAAGCGTCCCTTGCAGCCGCAGGTAGACCAGACAGCACTCACGCCACTCTGGCTGCTCTTGACCCTCAACCTCCTGCTGCCGCTCCTCGGATACTGCCTGCGGCTGTTGCTCTGGTAACTGCTGCTGCTGCTGCTGCTGCCGCTGCTCCTGGTTCAGGCGAAATCGCTTTGTGTGTGAGGCGTGTGGGCTGGGGTCAGTGACTGGCGTTGCATCTGTGGCCGCCTCCCACCACGGGCGCTTGGCTGGATAGTGGTGCAGCAGAGAAGAGATGGGGGAACAGAGGAGGGTGTATGAGGACTTTTGAGACGTCTCAAAAGTCACCTCCCACCACGGGCGCTTGGGTGGACAGCGGTGCAGCAGAGCAGAGAGGGGAGTAGAGAGGCTGATGGATGGGGAGCAATTTTGAGTTAATTTTAGTCGCATCACTCCTGAGTTGACTTTTGAGTCAACTCAGAAGTCAACTCAAGCTCGCCACAGGCGCTTGGCTGGACAGCGGTGCTGCAGAGCAGAGAGGGGGGTATAGACGTGGATGGATGGGAAAAGTGAGCGTGAGAGAGAAAAGGGGAGGAATTCATGCAGTAGTGTAGTAGTGATGGACAGTCGTGCAGCACTGGGAGAACAGAGGTGGGGACATGGAACGTTTTGAGTCCACTTAAAGGCTTCCTTCAGCTCTCCCCCTTCAGTCCATCTGTCTCGTTTCTTCCTGGAAGCTTCTTCAGCAATGTTCGTCCATCCCACCAACACCGCTCTATACCCGTTACACTCAGCTCACAACCTCGCTGACAAGCCCCCTCCCCAATCCACCCACCTGCTTTCCGCGCTTCCGCCTTCTTGGAAGCTTCCTGAGCGTTGTCCCGCCATCCCTTCAGCCGTGCACCGTAGGTGAGCGAATCAAGGGACGCGCTGGTGACTGCAGTGTGGCTCAGGTCTAAATGCCGGAGAGAGCGGATCCCTGAGGAGTGAAAGATGAGAGGAGAAGGAGAGGAGCGGGACACTGTGAGTGTTGAGAGCGAGTCGAGGAACGAGGCCTGGGAGGAGGGGTGGGGGAGGGGGGGGGGAGGTGGCACAAGGGGAGCCTTACAGGGGATGACAGCAGAGGCAGTGGCATCATTGACTTGCGGGTTGCGCGAGAGGTCAAGGCATATTTTTTAGATGTCTCAGAATATATTCCTTCACCGTTGACTTTGTTTTTTTTCCTGGTCCAAAGTGCCCCTGACGCTCTGAACCGGCTTACACGGGATGACAGCAGTGGCAGTGGTGTCATTGACTTGCGGGTTGCGCGAGAGGTTAAGGCATGCGAGCGATGGGAGGTCTGGGAGGAGGGGAGGGGGGCACAAGAGGGAGGATGGAGAGGGCATTGCGTAGAGTGTGAGCGACCGAAGAGGGGCAAAGCAGAGAAGGCATTGGGTGAAGGAGGGAGAAACGAAAATAAAAAAAACGAGTGTTTTCACGCTTCAGAAAGCGGTTGAAAGAGGAAAGGGCATGAATAGAGAGTTACGCGAACATGGGAGTTTACGCGAGCATGAGTGGAGAGAGGCAGTGGCAGGTGGGAGGGGAACGTACAGCAGAGCATGTTGAGAGCTGATTGGTGGAGAGACGGGCAGGCGGCAATCCCAAGGCAGGACAGGCGAGGCAGCGCTGTGGGATGGGGATGGGGATCGGTGGAACGGGGTGGAAGGGCGTGGAAGGGTTGGAAGGGCGTGAAAGCAAGAAAACTACAACTCGCTCGTCCAGCAAATCAGAAACATATGTTCTTGAAAGCAAAAGCGCGCTTACCGCTGAGCGGTTTGAGGTCAGTGAGGCAGCGACTGTCGCCCAGATTCACGCGGCGCAACGACGACGCGAACGCAGCTAGCCGTTCCAGCGGAACCCGCGCCGGAAATTCCGCCGGGAATCCCGCCGGAAATCTCGCAGGATGTTGTTTGAATAAGTCATCATTGAGGTTAAGGGATTCTGGTTGCCAGAAGCCGGCGCGAGCGAAGGCATCTATCGCGGCGAATTCAAGGGGCCGCGGGAGGAGGGAGTACACGAGGCGCGCTAGTTCCGGCGGTAAGATGCGGAGATCAGCGGCAAGTGCGGGGACGTTCGCAGCCGCGGCGCGAGCCGCGAGATCGAGAATCGGCGGCGGTGGGAAGGAACGCGGAGGACAAGGAGCAGATAAGGGAAGATTTGCGACAAGATACGCCATTGGTGGGTGGCTAGGAACTGTTATGAGTGCGTGCGTGGTAGGCGCGTGTGGGTACCGTAGCAGGGCGAAAGCTCCTCCTGAATTCAACTGAGCCTCGGCTGCCTGTTCAGACTGCAATATCACTACCTCGCCGCGCCTCGCCTCAACATGGCTTGTTTGACCTTGATTGAGGTGTGCTGTTTTGAGTCGACTCATCAGCAAGTCACAAATTCAAAGCCCAAGTCGAATTGGAGGGAGGATGTGTATGTCTGTCGACAAGAGTCCGGCTTAGTGCGGTTCAATGAGTTGTTTTTTCGCTTCTGAACGTTTTGTTTGAATTTCCAGACGGTTGAAAATGGTGTTAGCAGGAGCATGATTTGTGGAAATGGCACACGTATTCCCCAGTCCGTCACCGCTCCCCACCCATCTGCGCTTGCCTTCGATATTGGCAACTTGGCAGGACTACTGAGAGCATCACCTTTCTGTACGCATTGCTAACGTCATGGTCAGAAGCTGCCCATAGCCAGATCTACACATGTTAATAATATTCGCTCTTTCATGAGTGGGTGACCAGTGAATTCAGAAACACTACAGTGACCTTAGGAGGGAGTATCTCATTGAAATGCTAAGACCTGGAAAGACATGCTATGGACAAGAGAGTAGACTAAGCAACAATTCCTACATATTCTACCTAAAACTAGGCTGCTGCAGCAAGCAGAGCCATGAGCTTGCTAGGCACAACATTGCCAAGTCGTCAAGTCTAAACTTGGCACCCAGGACGAAAACTAGTGACAGAAAATTGCAGCTTTCAGAGAGGCTCATTCATCCCCAAATTCGGGTCTTAAAACCCGTGGGCCAAGAAGACCAAAATTGGTTGATCCTTCCTAGTGTTGGTTGGATGTCCCAAAAACGCCTGTGATTTTCCCGAGTTCTAAGACCTCCCCCAACATTTTCGACACTCCTATTGGCCCGCGGGCAAATCCCGTCCTCACTCCCAACCAACCTTCCTAAGCTTGAATTACTTGGCCTGCGGGTTTTAACTCTCCCGGGATGACTCCAAATCCGTGCGTCTTGCTGTTGAACCCCTTCCGCGGCTGCCAATCCAGCATTTTCAGCACCTCAATCTCACACGCAGCCAGACGCGATACAGGCACCTTCGCTACAGCAGCAACCGCCTTCGCTTTCGGTACACTCTTCTGGTTCTCCTCGTTCTTAGCCGCGACCCACAGACACGCAGCCAGCAGCACGCGCAGCGACTCCGCCGCCATATCCGTCGGCTGTAGCCGCAGCAGCACGCGCTGAAGCATGTGGAATGCCAACGCGCGAACCGTGGGTACCTGGAGGCCCAGTCGTGACTGCCACGTCAGCAACACGTGGCGGAGCCGCGCGGACGCAGTCTTGCCCAGCTTTCCCCGCGCAGGCTCCGCTCCTGGTGCTGCTGCCCCTGTTGCCTCCGCAGTTGATGGAAATTGCTGTTTCTCGCACGCTTCGTACGGCCTCTTTCCCAAGCCCATCCCAACCACCGTCGCTGCACCATCGGACTGCTTAAACCCGGTGCAAAGAGGCCTTACAAAGGGGAGAAACGCAGACGCTGCTAGCAGCGCGTCGACACCACTCCCTGCCTGCACCCGCTGCCGCTTGCTCTGGGGCTCGTCGACCGGAATCAGCGGCGGGACAGCGCAGCACGACACGCGGCTATCGTCGGTTACATCAGTGTGAATTCTGCGCGCCATCTTCCCGGCGGACGAACCTTCGTCGGCGGAAAGTGGAAAAAGAGACAAAGTGAGTGGGCTGTGTTCACGTTGCTGCTGCTGCTGCTGCTGCTCGCAGGCTCGATACGACTCAGCTTCCTCCTGTCGAATCAACCCCTCTGGCCGGAACGACCCAGGAAACATATGTCTTGAGACGGTACTCTATGAAACATTCCTTCCTGGGGCATCTTCTCTCGCGGTTGTTGGTTGACGAAATCCGTCGCACGGAAAGCGTCAGACTCCGTCGTGAGCACGCTAACCGGAGAGTTGTCGTCAATTTGAGCCGCAGTCGCCGCCTGGACAATCCCACCCCGGACACCCGTCACGAACCCCGCCGGGCGCGGAAGATGCGTCATGAGAGGCGGCGCGGCAGCAGCGGAGTTCCCGAGGGAGAAACTCGAGCTAGCGTTTAAGAACCCCTGCAGAAGCCGCTCCGAACCAGACGTAAGCCCTTCCGGCAGAAGGCTACCCGTAGCAGCCGCTAAGCTCTGTGGGCACGGCCCAGACGTCTGCGCGCTGGTAACCAGGTTACCAGCGTTCGTTGCAGGGAATCCCGTGGACGGCCAGAGCAGAGGCATCATGCAGGACGCGCAGATGCAAGGGGGAGTGGCGGCAGTGGAGGCGGGCAGGCCGCAGATCTGCACGGTCGTGGGGGCGGCGCAGCAGCGGCAGAGGACGGTGCGCACGTGTCTGTGCACGATGGTGTTGGCGCTGTGCACTGCGAGATCGCACGACGCGCAGAGATTAGCGCTGTCCGCGGGGCAGTGCACGGTCGCGGGTGCCGGGCACAAGGCGCAAACAGCGGGAGGTGACATGGCGGAAGGCGCGCGCGAGACCAAGGAAAAGGCTGAGGGGAGGAGAGTGGGAACTACGGAATGTGCTGGGAAAGCTGTCATATTTGCCATATGTTGTACGACTCTATATGTGATACGACTCTTTAGGTGAAGAGGACCCTGTGGCAGAATTCAAATGCAGTCTGGAACAAAGGATGCGTTGAAGGTCGAGGCTTGTGGAACGGAGAATAGATGAAACAGTCGACTTTATTCTATTGTGTGGAGACCAGAAGGTTGAGGAGAGGTGAGGAGACAAGCAGGTGCCAAGAGGATCGCGAGCGAAAGACAGAAAATTGTGGAGCAGGGAAGGGTGGCGTGGCGTGGCGTTGATGGTTCGTTGGGAGTCTACGGCTGAGCGAGAGACTGGATGCGGGAATACGGGCAGGCGTGAGAAGCAGGGGCAGGAATGAGAGGCAGGGGCAGGAGTGAGGCATGGGCGTTGGCAACAATTACCCAGGTAAGCAAACAGAAGCACGGTGGCGAATGCAGGCAAGATTCATGGCAACTCGCATATCATTTTCCTGAAATATCTGTGGTCGTCGTGTTCCCGTCCCGTGCCAGGTCTTCTTTCACCGAAACCCAACCCCCGATTTTTATGGTTTGCAACCCAGGCAAAGCGGCGACCCAGGCGACGCGTCGCCCTACCTGCTAGCGCGCAGGGAAAATGGATACGAGCGGCTTGCAATGTCTGGGAATATCAAGGAATGGACAGGGACAGGCTACCGCTTCAGGCACGCCTTGAGTCATTCTCGTTTATGGTTGGTCAGTTTCTCGTCAGTTGCCACGGTGTACAGAAAGCGGAAGTGAGAGCAGACTATGGCCACATGACGAAGGAGCTCTCCTGCGGTCGCACGTGACACAGGGCAGTGAACACAACACGCACTTGCTGCACACCAGAAAACACTTGTAATTTCGGGGTTCCGTTCCGTTCCAGCTCAGTTCATGGCTTGAATTCGCCGCATGCTGTAACCCACTTTGCTGCCGGATCATAATAAAAAATGTGACAAAATGCATTCGCGTGGCTGCGGCGACTCTCTTCTGTTCTGTTCCGCCCTCGACAGGTTTCCACCCACACAACCTTGACCTGACCTGCTCCCGTTGTGGCTGGCTTGAGGAGGCAGGAAGCAGCCACATCAGCAAGTCACATGGATGGAAAGGATTCGGCTGGACGGTCGCTGCTTCTGGTTGGGGAACAAAACGGCATCACCAACTTGGGTGCATGGGCACCAGGCATCATCTTCCCCTCGGCAGCATCTTGTTCGTGGATGGGAGTGGTTCACACCTTACGCACAGCTGGTTAGGCAGGTGATTGGAATTATGAGCACCTTGCCCAGTATTTTCACGAAGGAGTGCTTTCGATTGTGTGGAACATCAAAGTTTTAAGGGCTGATTGCCCTCAGAAATGCTAAAAGTTCGAGAATATGTAGAATGAGGTGTACAAGATCCAGGTGAGAACCCAGAAATGTTTTCACTCCGTCTACGAAAATCTGAAGCGAGATCCGGGGGAGCGGCTGCGGAATGTGATGCCGACGTGTCATGTGAATGGCCATGTTTCCATCCCATTCGAGGAGCCATTCGCTCTGACATTCAAGATCCACAAGATGAAGCCATTATCATTGCTTGCGTGGATTCAGCTTTCAGGCTGGCAGAGACAATTCAGCCTTCAAAAAACTTGTGGAAGAGGCAAAATGTGAGATTTCAAAATCAAAGGTGACGTATGCTAGAAGTAAAAATCACCTAAGAGACTGTAGTCGTGGTCGCAGATCCTTACAGAAAGTAATTCTGACCCTGTCAACGCGCGATTGGTTAGTGCTGCCACCTGTCGGGCCTCACTCACTCTGATAGGCACGCTTGGCACTCCCACAAGCATCGCGCATTGTAAAATCTGTAAAATCTCCAGGGTCTACGGACAAAGTAGCTTCTCCATGCTAGGAACAAATATCGAAACCTTATTCTGTGGCGGAGATTGAGCGGTAAAATATCGCTCTCGAGAAACAGCTTGTTATGACCCTACAAATTGGTTGACCTGGCATTGACGCCACGAGCTCACGCTCATCCCATTCCAACAAGAAAAACGTAAGCAAGCAAAATCCAGTCAAGGGAGACCACGTGTCGTGGAATTCTTGAAGGCACAAGTTCATCAGTAGACCAACCACCACCTCAAGAGCTCCTTCCTACGCGATATCTACAATTCCACCTCAGATCCGCTTATGCGAACAAGAAGTGAAAAACACTCAGTAATAAAAGGTTCCATCTTATTAAGCACTCAGCAGCTAACCTGCCGGCACTGGTTTTGCAGCTCATTTTTTTTTTTTGTGTTTGGAAGTGCACAGTATCAATTTGCAGGGCTAGAACGATACACAGTACCGTATCATGATAAAGCTGAACATAACAGAACTGTACATAACGCGTATGTTCTTGATTTGCATCATCACAGCCACTATACTCATACCACCCTAACCTTCTATTCATGCTTCAGGTTTCCTTGCAGCATCCCATTCCGAATCTGGGCAGAAATGTCAGCAATCTGAGAAGGTGCATGTGGAATGAACACTGTGTTGCTCTTGGCCGACGCTCCTATATCCTTCATTGTGTCAAAGTACTGCGTTACAAGCACCATATCCAACACGTCCTTGGGTGTTGTTCCCTCCACTTCGTGCGAGAATGCGAGGACGCTCTCTCTCAGCCCATCCACAATTGCCTGCACAGGTGGGCAACACAGGCGGACGACAGATACAGGAAGATGTGGGGAATCGAGGTGTGTGTGGGGAAATGAGAATGTGGTTAGCATACGCAGATTGACAGAATCAAGGAAAAGCTCAGTAGCACTAATGACAAAGAAGAACACAGAGGCAGCACAGAGTGGCATGTTAGCTGACCGAAATAACACAGCAGGTTGGCTTCAAAAGGTATGTAAAAGGTTGGCTTCACAAGGTACACAGCAGGAGGGCTTTTGAAATCGTACCTGTCTCTGCCGAGCCACACCAACACCCGAGAGGTACTTTGCCTCGGCATCAGCCTCGGCACGCTTCACTTGGAGAATCTTCTCAGCCTCTGCCTTCTCCTGTGCTGCCATGCGCATGCGCTGAGCTGCTCGCATTCGGGCGAGAAAAGGGATCAGAATGAGAAAGTGAGAGAAAGAAAAATCAAAACAGAAGGGAAGCCAGCCTCACATGACAGGAAACAAATTCAGCAGGTCAGCGAGCAATGAGCTGTGACTTTACCAGCATTGATCTCGTTCATGGCTTTGCGCACGGTGGCGTCAGGCTCAATGTCCACAATGAGGGTCTGCTGAATGGTGTAGCCATACGTTGTCATCACCTGAACAACAGTAAAGGAGCCGCAGAGTAGCAAGGAAAATATTAGAGACAGGAATTTCTCAGCGCAAGCGAACTTGTAAGCAAATGAAAATCTGACGAAGGGGAGGTAACAATATAGAAGACACAAGGTACTGTGCCACTAGAACAGTAGGTCTCATGCATGAGACAATTAACCCCACACAGCCATCCACCCTTCTCAAACCTGCTGGAGAAAGTTTACCTTTTCAAGTTCCTCCTCCACACTCTTGGCGATCTCGTTCTTTTGTTCAAACACTTGATCCAGCTCTATGCGGGGGACACTGGCTCGCACCACTGTAGTGGGGTGCACACACACACACACACACACACACACACACACACACACACACACCATTCCCCCACCCACACGCACGCACGCACACGCGCACGCACGCACGCAGACACACCCACACACACACATACACACACATACACACACGCAGAGTCAGCATTTTCACAACCGTCCACAGTGCAACGTCAAAAGAAGGGTAGCAGAACAAGCCTCTTGCAATCCTCTAACCAAGGATTCTGAGACAATGCTCGTAAGACTCTGCATACCATCAAAGACGTAGGACTGGATCTGCTCGCGAGGATTTTGGAGCTCGTAGAATGCATCGTCTGCATGGTCCTTCATCACCCGGTACTGGACGGAACACACCACTGTCACAAAAACATTGTCCTGCAAAACAACGAATTTGAACAGTGTGAAAGAACGTGTAACCGAACAACAAGTTAACATATGGTCCTTCATCACCCGGTACTGAACTAAACACTCAACCGTCACAGAAACTTCGTTCTTCAAGCAAAAGATGTGTTTCATTTGACCAAAAGTTTCGATATGTGAACGCGAAAACAAGGGTTACGACCTGGATGACCCCAACAGGAATGGAGATATATACTGGGCCGAGCATTCCTATAGCCACAAGCATGTTATCCTGTAAAGTAACGCATATTCACCCCTTTCCTGAAAAGCACTTTTAGCTTGGAAGGCGGAGGAGCCACAAGGGCATGACAAGGAGATGAAGATATAAGCAATTTACCTTCGTTTTAGTTTCGCAGCGCACGTCTAGCTGCTGCACGCGGAGCGACAGCTTTCCCGCCAACCAAGTCCCAGCGAGGGGATTAAAGCAGTGCAGCCCCGGCTCTGCCACGTGGGTGAATCTCCCCCATTTCTCGAAGATTCCAACCTGCAACATCCATACACGGAAACATATAACATAATGTAACGCTAAAAAACGTTTCTAATGTGCATCGATAACGAAGTACGCTATAACGAGGATGATTGATCAGAAGCTGACCTGCGACTGCGGGATGCAAGCGAAGAAGCCACACGACGCTGGAAGCTCAGAGGTGCTCCCGTTCGCCATGGAAGTTGACGGGTGGAGGAGCGGAGAGGAAAGCCGAGAGGACTCCAGCAAGAATTCCGTTAGCAAGATTCGAGGTAAGGTGAGAACAAAAATCAGATCGTATCTGTCACGTATTAGCGGATTAGCAACAAAACAAGACGTGGAGGCCTGGCTAAAAAACACTGTCCCTTGTAATGTGTGATGCAAGGCAGTCGCTTCTGTCAGGTAAGAACCGTGCAAGCTTCAAAGATTCACGACAGAAACACGTCTGAAAAGCACTGGAGGCGATGGGAGTGTTCATGTCTTCGTAAGAAACTGATCTGATGGCTTTGGTTGAGTGATGCAGACGCAACGCTTGCATGTTGGGAAACACGGCGAAGTGAAGGAG